CCTACGATTCAATCAACATGTTCTTTCTTTCTTCCTCAAGTTTCGATCTCCAACCACACCTCCACCTCTAAATCACCTCACTACTTCCTCCTCGCTACTCTGTGCACCTTAGCTAACTTGAAACATAAAAAATGCAAAGTACATTGCCATAAATAAGTTTGAAATTCCAAATTCTCCTTATCTCTCGCTTTCATACTCCTATGTCTCACAAAATCTACTGCGGCCTCACCTCCTCCAGGAACTTCCGATCAATCGTCTGTCGCCCTAACTCGTTTGTCATTTCAAGTAGAGCTATTGAGGTATTGCTAGACTTTGATACACATTATATTAAATGTCCATGATCTCGAGATAGTGGAGGTTGACTCCCAATTGGTGCAGAAAGCCTTGACAAAGCCTTGACAGCAAAAGAAAATGATCAATCGGAATTTGGTTTTATCATAAATGACTCCAGAGCATTATTACAACAGAAACCGAATATAAATTACTTTAATATATTATTTTATTAATATAAAATTATCTCATACTAAATTTTTGGGCCCAGATGTTACATATTTTATAAATATTTTATACCTTATATGTAATTTATATATGTATATATTATTAACTGTCAAATAAATATCAAAAAGATAATTAATTGAAGTAATAAAAATAAAAATAAAAATGCAAAAAAAAATCATATCAGAAATATTTATTTTCTGTCTTTTTAAAATTGTATCTAAAATTTAAATAAAATTCTGCATTTTATTTTAAGAAACTTCAAAAAAAAAAAAAATTTACAGCAGGGTGGGGGAGTTCTTACCTTTCACTATCCAAATTCCAAAAGTATGTCAGATTTGTTTTTGTTTTTGTTTTATTGACCCAAAAATCCTTTTAAGATATTTAATTTTATTTTGATTAGACCAATAAAAAAAAGAAATCAGAAAAAATAAAGCCAAAAGTGATTTTTGGCTGAAAAACTGAAATGAGAAGAGCATATAAAATCATTTCTCAAATTAGCCCACGATACCAAATTTATCTACTAAAAAATAGACAATAAATTTATTATGAAAAAGAAAAAATAAAATCTTTTATAAAACAGATATTTTTATTTTTCCTTGTTAATTAACTATATATATATATATACACACACACATTATATATTCTTCAACAATTTGGAATTGAATTTTTCTTTCACATTATTACAAGTAAATAATAAAAAAAAGTTGGATTCAATTGTAAATGAAAATAAGATTGATTAGATATTCAAGTCATAGTATATGATTTCATAAAACTGTGGGATTCCTTTTTATTTAAATCAAGTCGATTTTTTTATTTTTTTTACATAAATAATAAAATATGAATTTTAAATAAACATAAAATTAATTTAAAAATAAAATAATATTTGTATTAAAAAAATTATTATATATGTTGGTAATTATTGTATTAAATTAAATTTTAAAGCAATTCAAACTTTGAGACCAAAAAATAGAAAATAAAGACTTCAAATCTAATCATTATCAGCCTAATGGTGTTCCATCTTTGAACCGACATAGAAGGTGAGGTCATTAGTGCACACTTAGATTAAGTAGGTTTATTGAACTGATTAAAATAAACGTGGAAGAAGAGAGAAAGTTTATCAAGGCAAGCTAAAGAATAAATTAAGAGGGAATATATATATATATATATATATATATATATATATATATATTGTCAGCCATTTGATGGAGAAAGGACAAATATCCAGCCAAACAAAGATAAGAAAGAATGATGGTAACGAGCTGTCTGTGACTCATCATATATATATATATATATATATATATACATGTTTGATGATGAGTAAGAGTTAGAATTTTGGAGGTGACAAATAAAAATTCATGCAACACATGTTAGCTTAAGTGATATGTAATCAATGCTTAATAGAGTAGATTATGATGATAATGTAAAGATTAGGATATAATTACAAATAATTTATATGCATATGCTGTGTGTGTATGTATATGACAAGTAAGAAGATGGCCAAAATTTTGGAGTTTTGATTTGCAGGGTAACCAAATTGTTTATTGTTATTATTTGTCAAAATTAGAGGCCTTTTGAGAACAATGGGGCAGGCAGTGACAATTATTAGGTGGCCCACCCAAACACAATCATAAGTTGGTGGGCCCCACTCCCATCATTCCT